GCCTGGAGGGCACCCGCCTGTGGGCACCCGCCTGGAGGGCACCCGCCTGTGGGCACCCGCCTGGAGGGCACCCGCCTGTGGGCACCCGCCTGTGGGCACCCGCCTGGAGGGCAGGCCCCGACAGATAGCCGTCCCTCCTCAGAGCAGGGGCTGACGGTGTTGCTTCCCCAGCGCGCACAGGCTCACGCACCCCTCCCGCCCGCAGACCCCTTTCAGAAGTCCTGGATGGCCCCCGAGGCCCTCGGCTTCTCCTTCAGCCCGAAAGCCGACATCTGGTCCTTGGGCTGCATCATTCTCGACATGGTCAGCTGCTCCTTCATGGAGGTGAGCCGCCTCCAGCGCCTTCCCGGCCACCACAACCCCACGCCCCACGGCAGGCGGGTGGAGTGGGCCCTGCGTGCCTCCCCCGCAAGGGCCGCCCTCCTCCTCAGCCTCCTCCGGCCCCAGCCAGTGGGCCCCACCCCTGCACTCAGCACCCACTCCAGCCTGCGCCTCCCTGCGGCCCCCAGATGTTCTCGCTGTCCGTCCTTTCCGGTGCGAAAACCGGCTTCAGGGGCCCAGGGGCATGGAGCGGCCGCGTGGGCTGTGGGCTGCGCTCTGGCCCTGTTCCAGGTCAGGGTGCCGGGAGCTGCAGGCGGTGGCCTGAACCTCTGGGGCCTGAGCACGGGCTGCTTGTCGCCCACAGGTGCACCCCAGGGGGCAGCCCAGCTGGAGGCCCCGCACCAGGGACAGGGCCTGTGGGCGGGAAGGAGGGTCCCCCACTCCCTCTGCCCAGTGAGAGGCTGCTGGCTGCTCTGAACCTCTGCCCCTAGAAGGTCTTGGGCTCAGGTGGTCTCCGGGTGGTCCCGGAGGTGGTGGCCGCAGCTTCCCCGCTTCCCTCACACTCCCCCCGGTCCCAGCCACTTTCATTTGGTTCTGAAACGCGAGACCCGGTGTCCTGTCTCCTAGGCCACCGAGGCCATGCTGCTGCGCAAGTCCATCCGGAGCCTCCCCAACAAGCTGGGCAGCGTCCTGAGGACCCTGGAGGAGCGGCGGGTCCCCCAGGCCAAGACCTGCAGCTCCCTTTTGCCCCAGATGCTGCAGATCGAGCCCTCGGAGCGAATAACAGTCCGGTGAGCGGGTGAGGGCTGCACTGAGGTGTCCGTTTCTCTCTCCGTGTCCCATCTGTTATCGACGTGTCACTGGGGTCTGAAGGCCACACCCTGCCTCCCCTGCGACCTTGGTCCCCCAACAGTGGTCTTCACGCTGGTCCTTGAGCGGAGACGACGCTGGCTTCGCCGTCACTGAGGGCGCACGGCCCCAGGACCAGGAACGGTGCCGACTCTAGTTTAAAACTGGAAGGAAAAGGCGAACCTGGAGCGATGGCCCCGCCTGGGTCTGTCCGCCTTTTTGCCGCCACAGGAGCAAGACCTGATGTTCTGGTCTGTTTCTGTGGAGGAGGGGCCCCCGCAGGCGCAGGCGAAGGGCCGGGGCTCCGCCTCCTCCTCTGCCTGCGGGAGCCGTGTCCCTCCTGGAGGCGGGGCTGCTGGGTGCGAGCTGGACACCCTGTGACACGGGGAGAGGTGCTGCCACACCGAGTGCGAACAGGGAGGTGGGCCAGCGTCCGCCGCCCGGAGCCCATCCGTCCATCCCCATCCGTCCGTCCGTCCACCGCAGGGAGAGCCGCGCGGTGAGTTCGCACTGTCCCTCTCCAGGGAGGTGATCCAGCTCACCCTGATGAGCAGCGACTTCAGGCCAACCTGTGTCTCCCTGTTGCTGCACCAGCGGGACGTGCCCGAGTTCATCACCGCCATTATCTCGGAAGGCCACGTGGCCCGCCTTCTAGGTGACGAGGGGGACCCTGTGTCTCAGCCCCACAACCCAGCCCCCGGACTGCTCCCCCGGGGTGGCCAGTCGGGGGAAGGCCTTGGGCAGCCCCTCCACCACGGCAGGCGTG